AACGAACCCATAAACCAAACGAGAGGCATTGATAATGCAAATTCAATTACCAAAGAACAGAGGCACCAAAACTAGTTTCTGACAATTAACAATATTAACACTGTCAACATTGTAAGAGAGAAATTGTAAATTACCACAATCAACACCAAACAGTAACTATTAAAGAAACACAATTGGACCAGTTAACTTCCCACCAAATAATTATTCGTTGGCAAAAGAATCCGTAAAAAATTTCTGACAGAAATTTCGTTGAAAATTTTTGACGAAAATTTCTGACAAATTTTGATTTGTCGGAAAATCCGTCGGAAAATTTTTTTTTTTTCCGACGGATCCAAATCTGTCAAAAATTATCCGTCAAAAATTTGTATTTTTCTTGTAGTGTTCAAACATTAGAGTTTAGTACAATAAATCAAAGTTATTTAGTGACTTTTAATTATATTTTAAAGACTTTTTCGATTAAAACCTACAATAATAGATCATTTTAATGGTATACCAATGAAGTATGTAGTTAAGTACTTTGTGCTAGAATTGTCCATTCCTTTTTATTTTACCCAAAACATGAAAAACTGGTGAAAAAAATTGAAAACTTTCATATAATTTTTCATAAAAATGTAACCCATCATCATTTTTACATTACAGGCAATCTACTCTCTATAAGTGGTTTATTTTGCATATTCATAAAAGCTCATCTACACTTGAATGAGATGTCTATTCCTTTTTCTTTAAACTAACTTTAAGTTAATTAAAAACATATTTACCCCCCTATGAGTTAATTTGACCAAAACTTCATTTCTCCTTTGATTGAATAATACAAAATACATTTGGGCTTACATTTTTTGTCTATATTTTTCTATGAAAGTTAAGAAGTTGATTTTATTTTATTTCCAAAAATATGAATGTGTCATTCATTCAAAAGGTTGAAGGTATAGAGGAATAAGTCATTAAGATAGTGGGGTTTGAATCTAAAGTAGTGGCTTATGAGATGTGTTGTGCATAATGGTTAGAGCGTGTTATTAACCATACATCTCACTTGAAAATGAAGTTTGAATCTAAGGTAGCGACTTGGGAGTTTTGTGATGAATACAAAAAAGTGAGGTTTGACACTCATCAAGAATATGGAAATAAAAGTAAAAAAGATGAAATTGTGACTTCAAGAAGATTTTATGCTTCAAAGAAGGAAGTGAAATGTTGATAAACAACACCGCTTGACAAAATAGGCTAGAGTAGTAACTAGAACAAGATGTGAAAAATGAACGGTTATTTTGTTTGATGGAAGTTAGGAATAGAAGGTTATTTGTACCTCAACATAATCATCATCTTTAATCACCACAATAGGATTCATTTGCTTTGCTTTTAATGACACATCTTGATAGAAAGCTTAAAGTTATATTATTGTTATTCCTTAACTACTATAGAAAAGATAAACAATTAAATTGATATTTTTCATTCCTCATCTTAGGCCAAAGGAAATACAAATTTATAATCCAATAATATTAAGGATGACCCTATAAGTTTCATCATTTTATTTTAAGGAATATAAAATAACATTAAAACTAAATACAAATATATCCTAATATTCTAAGACCAACTTATAAAATCTTTCAACCATTTAATTTTATCTCTTTTAGGTCTCCCTAGGTCTATCATATCATTGTTGCAGGGTTGAATAAGAAGCTTGTTCTTGAGGTTTTGGAAACAAATATGTGCCATAATGGTAATTTTGGATGGTTGTAATTTGTTTGTAACAATTGTAGTCTTAATGAATAGTGTGCTTTGGAGGGTGATAAAATAATTAGTGGTAAATTTTGAAAAAAATGTGACAATGCATGGTGTTTGTGTGGTTATATAGTAATGGGTGGGTATTTTGCTTTTGGGGACAAGAAAGTAATTGGGGTTGAAACTTGTAAAGTGGTGGCAAGACATGAGGAAAAAATCTAGGTGTCAAATGAATTTTGTTAGGCATGGTTGGTGGAGATTGTTGATAGTGGGAAGAAGGTGATTCAACGGTTGATGATTTTGTTGAAAAGGAGAGCGGAAGCCAGTTAGAGGATGTGCATCGCAACTTGTATCCTGCCAAACACATTGGATTTCCTTAAGGTGATGGGTGTCTTGTTTGAGCATGGCATTACAGTGGTCTTTGTGAACTTTTTGAGGACCTTCTTGAGGAAATGAATCTCCAAATTCTTTTGAAAGAGATTAAACCCCTTAAGGTAGAATCTCAACCTCACTCTTTGTGACAGTGCAAGCTAGGGTTCCTTTGCACTAAAAAAGGTAAAAAGGTTGTTCTAGATGGAACTCTTTTAATATCATTTTTTGTTGCTAAATAGTTCTCCTTCTTGACAACTTCTTTGAAGGGGACATTATTTTCCACAACCTTCTCTTTCCCCTTT